GAGAAAATTAATTTCTCGGTCGATGGAACATTGATAGAGCCCTGCACCACCTGCAAATTACTGGGAGTGCACATAGACGAACGGCTAAATTTCAACAACCATGTAGCTTCAATATGCAAAAAGACAAGCAGGCAGATCGCAGTTATTAGTCGCTTTAGAAAATTGTTAAGCATCCAAACTAAACTCACGCTATATAAGGCTTATATTTTACCTCATTTCACCTATTGTTCCACAGTGTGGATGCACTGTGGAAAAACGGCATCAGACAAACTTGAAAAACTGAACAAGCGGGCTCTAAGATTAATTTTTAATGACAATGCTAATACTTATGCTACTCTACTGGAAACTGCAAACATGCCTTCTCTGCACGACAGGAGAGTCCAGGACATGTGTATTCTTATCTATAAAGTCATTCATGGAATAACACCTACTCCACTTCGCAATCTGCTGACGCTTAGAAGTAAATCACGTAATTTACGGGGCGAATTGATTCTTGTACAACCCAGAGTTATCACCACCAAGTATGGACTAAACACCTTTAGGTACTACGGACCAAAAATCTGGAACTCTCTAAATGATGAACTAAGAACTTCTCCGACCCTTAAAAAATTTGTAACACGCATCAGAAAGATCACCTTTGACGCAAGTAACTGCTCTTTATGTAACTGTTAGACTATCGTTAATATTGTACCTTTTAGAATCATTATCTGTAAACAATATCGTATCATGATGTAAATAGTTTAAATTCAATTCATTTCTTTTTTGTTTGTTTTTAACCTCGACTCATTAGCTATTTAAGCTAGGAGCCTAATAAGCTCCAGACCCTCGAGTTAAATAAAGTTTTCAAGTAGGGCCAAGCAGGGCTTGAAATTAAAAAAAATGTCTGGTCGCAAATTTGCGACTAGTTACAAAAATTTGGTCGCAACTTTGAAAATGTTAGTCGCGAAATTAATTGAGGCCATTTAATCAAGAAATAAGTAGGCTTTTAAATGATAAACGCTTTAATTTTCATTCTTTCAACAGCTTTCATGTCATTTCGAGACTTAATAGTACAGAACGTTTAGGGTCTCGGACAACACCAGTTCATCTAAACGATCAAGTTGAACCTGCGTTAAGGCACATAAATTAGTGTCTGTTATTTTAGTCAAAGTGATAGATTTCCAAATCATAAACAGATATTACAGCAGGAAACTGCAGTTCTTAAATGCCTCCAATCTCTGCAAAATAGCAATAACATTTGCACTGGGCGGACATCCGACATGGTTATAGGTTATGTTACGTAACTCAATTCCTTTAGTTTTACCTTTTGCAGGTTTTCCACCGATGACAAAACAAGTAACGAATTCTTTTGTATATTAAGCTTTACATCTGAAGTATCAGGGGTGTTACTACAGTGATTATTCAAAGAACCCTGAAGGACTGAATCATTCAATACGACAATACGTGCCATGCGGACATTCCGCCATCTTTGTTTGCTAAACCTCGTTTTCATGTATACGTAGATTCGCAACCCACTTTGAACCGATTTATTTTACATGTAAATCTTCGTTTTAAATGTGACCTTTGAAACAATTTAAGTCGCTTTCATCCGACATAATTGACTCACTAAAGAAGAACACATGTGTACTGTGAGGGCCGTAACGCGGGAAAAGTCCTCAGCATGCTGGCGGGACTGTCAGTGGCAAATCAAAACGAAATATGAGCCTGCAATGTACATGTTTACAGAACCCGCTGAAAATGGCGTGCTGTTGAAGGAATATCGTTGCGTGTATGCATTCCAGGTAAATTACGTAAACCTTCAGGTTGTAACAAAATTATAAGACGCTACTTCAATGAATCTTTTTATTTCTAAATTTATTTAAGCAAAAATTCAAGTGCTAGTCCTTTTATTTCGTATCAGTTAAGGCAAAACCTAGTCGCAAATTTGCGACTAGTCTCGTTTTTCTAGTCGCAAATAAGAAAAATTAAGTCGCAAATGTGACCTTATCGGTCGCAATTTCGAGCCCTGCCAAGACAAACCTTGTTGGAGTAAGAACGAGAGCATATAACCTCTGAGGATTTTCTAGCAGTGTCTGAAGAACTGGCAGTGCAAATGCACCTGTTTTTCCAGATCCTGTCTCAGCTAAACCAATTATATCCTTTCCTAAGCAAAAAGGAAAAAAAATCATAAACAAAACAAACGAAAAAACTGGATTCTCCCGAGAGGAGTCACACCACTATAATTATATATATGACCTCCTGCTCATTATGTCATAATATACTCTCTCCCATTGAGCTACAGAAGGCTTCGAGGGCTAAGGCTTAAAATCATAGTCTTTGAAAAAAATTATATTTCAGGACACTTCACAGAAACCATTCTTTTTTCAAAGGATTCAACGAAAAGAATTGGTCACCACCTTTGTCACAAAAACATGTTCACCATTTCTCCATTAGCCTGCGAAGATGGCCGCCTCTTCCCACTCCTCGCCACTTGGGACGAGAGATGGCGACATTCGCAGGCCAAATGTATTTCTCCATGATTTGTTGTATCTATGTTTAGATAGTGCTTTGTTGGTTGATTAAAGAAGTATATTGTTGTTATAAAAGAATGCTTACATACATGTGATTAACTACTGAAGTAAAAAAACTTCACTATCAAATTGCAGAGATTCATTCATTGGCATTCATATAATTTTTTTCAAGAATCTAGATCGAAATTGATAACCGTATCAATCTCCTGCGGGATACACAATATATAATCACTTAACATTAATTGTTGAAAGCGATAATTTTCAAAGAGTTTGGACTAGTAGGTACTGAATTCTGTAAAAAAATTAAAAGTAGAAGAATAGAAGATTAACTGATTTGAACTGAGGTCTTTCTAATACCTTGTAAAGCCACTGGAATCGCTTCTCTCTGAATTTTGGTCGGAGATTTCCAGCCCAACTTTTGACAAGCTNTCGCAGGCCAAATGTATTTCTCCATGATTTGTTGTATCTATGTTTAGATAGTGCTTTGTTGGTTGATTAAAGAAGTATATTGTTGTTATAAAAGAATGCTTACATACATGTGATTAACTACTGAAGTAAAAAAACTTCACTATCAAATTGCAGAGATTCATTCATTGGCATTCATATAATTTTTTTCAAGAATCTAGATCGAAATTGATAACCGTATCAATCTCCTGCGGGATACACAATATATAATCACTTAACATTAATTGTTGAAAGCGATAATTTTCAAAGAGTTTGGACTAGTAGGTACTGAATTCTGTAAAAAAATTAAAAGTAGAAGAATAGAAGATTAACTGATTTGAACTGAGGTCTTTCTAATACCTTGTAAAGCCACTGGAATCGCTTCTCTCTGAATTTTGGTCGGAGATTTCCAGCCCAACTTTTGACAAGCTTCACAAAGAACGTCAACAACGCCCTAGAAAAAAGATCAAATTTTATACCTTTACGCACCTAAAAGCGCTACACTGCAATTTAAGACGCATGAAAACGCTTACCAGAGATTCAAAGGTTACAGCTTGGTCCTCCACTTCTTCTGAAGTCGCCATTTTGAAAGTTATTCCACGTGATTGATCGATTAGCTTTGTAACCAGGCCTTGAGTTAGTAACCGCTCAGCTTCCCTGTGAAGTCATGGAAACAGACCCGAAATGGCGGATAGTGTGGACAATCTGCGAATGTTTATCTTGATGGAAACTTTGAAATCATGCATTTGGAGATTTCTTGAGCCTTGTGAATTAGTGTGAGGGTAGTTTTCCTTTATTCTGGTGAAACTGGGAGGCTGCTTGCGGTAACATGTCCACACCAAGGGCGCGAATGAGAAGCGAGCGCGAGGCAAAGATATCAGATGTCAATAAGCCAGTGATTGGGCTTCGGCCCCTCAAGGAAAGGAACAAGCGATCAGAGGCTATGATCGAGGAACAGGTAGATAAATTTAAAGTATATACTCAAATGTTCTTGATTGGCATGGAGGGAAATTTCTATGCTTGAATAATGCATCCCATGGTTCAAATTGTGGGGTTTTTGGGCCGTAGTCTGTCGATGGGACTGCCGAGGCTAGTTCATTTGTCACACTGCACTTGATTGTTTTGTATTTTCAATTCTATATAGGACATATTATTAATATTAATTTCATATTTTTATGTAAATAGTATCTACTGCATTGCACATTGTATGAGGTCTCTGGCTCTTTTGCACAGCCCCAAAGGCTCTCTTAATATTATTGTTATTATTATTATTATTATTATTATTATTATTATTATTATTATTATTATTATTTATTAGTATTGTTTGTTACCACCAAATTGTAATAAACAATTTGACCTTCATGTATTACCATGCCCCCCATCCCCCTTCTGCCCCCCACTGGCATACAGTTTCCCTGGGGATTTGCAGAAATTCCACACTGATGAGATAGTACTTCTGATTGGTCATGCTGCATGTGAAATTTGCTTCAACCAATCAAAAGCACTATCCAGGGTATAGGTAGTGACACATTATTTAGTAATGGTATGTCTGTGCTCATTCCTCAGACGTCATTTTGCAGGGAAACTAGGCTACCAGTACATGTACATATATCAAGCCTTCTGATATTTCACGTGGTGACAGACCCACAAAATTCAGTTAAATCGGAGAAATTGTGCAAAATTCAGAAAAACATGCAAAATACCGCAAACGTCGGAAGAAATCTTATCTAATACATGTCTGCACAGCATTTTTTAAACTTATCTCAGCTATTGGGGCTATTTACTTGCTGTAAAGTTGCAAATTTTTCTTGAAATGTCATTACTGAAATGTGCAAACAACGTCCCGAAACTACCAGGTGTAGATTATGTTGCGAAATACTGGGCACTAGCCATGATGTTAAAGGCTTTGCCATTGGTTCATTTCTGGAGCGTATTGTTGTTGAAAGAGCAAAATAATGATGACCTCTGTTAGAAAAACGATAAATCCCCCCTTTTTTTTACAGATTGCTTTTTGGCAAAGTTTGCCACGAAAATTCCCGTGAAATTCCCGCAAAATCGGCTGATTTTTCCACGAATTTGTCCGTAAAAATCCCACAAAATTCGACTTTTCTTCCGCAACCTATCAGAAGCCTTGATACATGTATATCTAAGTAAAGGTGGGGAAGGGTTTGGGTAACTGTAGCTCATTCAGGTGTGATTGTTTGATTGTTGTATGTGTAAACCATTCAACAATGTGGCTAAAGAAAAGCTAAGCAGGTTTTCTATTATTCACGCTGACTTGATCTGTACATTCAAAATTATTCCATGGCTTTGTTTTCCAGAGCAATTTTGAGCTGTTGGGAAGTTCTTTTCCAACTGGTGAAATAAGCTGGTGGGCTGCTGTTAGTGATATTTCTGACCACAGCCAGTGCAATTTTATACAGACATGTTTTTCCACTAGTGTATGTGTGCATGTATTTTTTAGAGACTTACATTGTAAATGCATTTTATTAGTTTTAATCATTTTCCTTGTCTTTGTAGTTGTTGTTAATGAGGGAAACTCAGAATGTTTTGTACAGAACTCTAGAGAACCTTGAAAAAGCTTTAACTGAGGTAAGATAAAGGACAAGATTTGCTTGTCACCTTTAAGTTTTTATGACCATTTAATTGCATAGATGCCCACTCCCCAAGATCTCAAGTTTAGAAATTTTGCCATTTCTGTTCCTGATAAAATATTATCCAATGAGCACTCAGTGGGAACAAACGTTGTCCAAAGGGTTGACATATTTGGAAAGTGAAGCTTTCTGATCAAGGAACGAAGTGCCAAGAAGAAAAAGAGGCAAGGTATGAAACTAAGTACCACGTGACTTGTTCAGGGTGGACCACAGCTTACCCTGATGATGGAAAAGGAAGTCAGAGTTTGCTGTTGCGCTGAGCATAGCAGGAAATCATGACATTTACAGGCAAAAAAACCTTATGTATAGTTTTTTAGGTCCAGACATTTTGAAGAAAACTGAAGAAACTGCAATTTTTATCTAGCCGCAATAACAAGCACAGGAAATAAATGTAATAATCAATATGCTTAAAACAGAGCAGTTTCATGACCTCTCAAAGTGAGACTAGCAGCTTAAAGTTTAGAATGCTCCATGCGCTGTGTAATCCACTTGCTGGAAAGAAAGAAAGAATATATTTGTTGTTTGAGCAAACTCTAAGGTCATGTTTCACATAATCATGATCTTATGAGTCCTGTTTGGCCTGTCAACACTGCATTTCTTATTATTGTTTTGGATTTGTTTTGTAACTGATGGCATAATTCCGTCACCAGTATCTCCGGTCCACATTATACAGAAGCGAGCATTTGATGCTGAAAAATGTGCCCCTGGAAAGGCTGTTGAAATGAAATCAATGCTCAAATTTTCTCTGAAAGTGAAAAAAGAACGTTCTTTGGGTATCAGCTGTGGAAAATGACGCCAATTTATCCGGGGACTGACGATTTATGGCAGGCTGGAAATTGGCCTTAATTAGTTTAATCCCTTGTCTCTTTATAGCTGCTCTTATTCATCCATGCACAGTCTTTACCTTCAGCAGTTTTCCAGAGCGTTGGTTAATATTTTACCAGGTTTATAAGATCGAATGATGGTTTGCTTGATTCAACAGTATAAAAACAAAGGCGATGCCCGGTATCAGGCTATCAACTGTAAAATTTAACTACAATCAACAATCAAGGTCACAATTAACTCCTCTGTGCCCTGTGACTCTGACTGGACCACCAACCTGGGCCTTTAGTAAACTTCTAAAAACTTAATGCTGCTGTGATGAAATGTATTTATCATAGGTTATGTAACCTTTTCTTTGGGGTGTTACATGGTATGCTGTTCTGTTGCTTCATTAGCGGTAGGCTATATATATTCGAGTTGTTCTCATTTATATTCATTCGCGTCTTACGACCGTCCCTACACCCTCAAAATTAAATACCCAGTGACCAGGGGTTTCTCTTAGACGTAGTTTTTTACATGCTGCTATATGAAAGGTTTAGCACGTTTTGTATGTTTACTGAATCATTATTATACAAGCATAGTTTAGATCATTTTGTAGGGTTGTTTTTCTTGCTGTAATTTTTTACATTTCTGTGTTTTCATTCTGTTTGTTGTTTAAAGAGGGTCGCACACGGCTCGTGTTGACACACCCCAATTGAGGTTGCTTGTTACATGATAAATGTTTTATATTCGTTTGAGCGGGGTAGCGAATTAGAATATAAAGGCTTTTCACAGTTCATGTGATTGCAACTTTGGGCCATGGTGTGAAGTCACTGGCCTTGTCTCCTCTGGATTTACATGTTACTTCTTGTAGAAGAACAGGCCCATGGTATTCTTTGAACAGGGTCAGAGACGTATAATGTAGACCCTGGTGTTATGGCTTATCTGACTTGTGCCATCATTTGTCTTGAGTTGGGTGGAGAGTGTGTCTTTATATTATTATGCTAACACAATTATCGAACATGGCACCCATTATTATCACCAGTAATCAAAAGTCAAAACTTATCTTTTGATCAAAGGTATTTTCATTTATTGCCATTTTCATGATAATCATACAATGTACTTTCTTTTTTTATAATAACTATTATTATCATCTTCAAAAATGTTTTTTTAGGATGAATTTCTAAGGGGAGAGAAGGAATTGCAGCAACTATTTGACAAAAGCGAGGAGTTACTTGTTATTGTGCAGGTACTATTAGAAGCTGTCTAATGCGTATAAATCTCAGCTGCTCAAGTAAAAATTTTGGATTTGCATAATACATGTATCATATTGTTTTGGAAAAGAAACCATAAACTCTTTAATCCTAGACAGAGTTATAGTAAATTGACCATTTCTTCATTCTAAATTTCAAGTTGTGAAGAAAAACCTATAGTCCATTTTACCATATAAACCTCTTTGATGCAACTATTTGCATCGTACCATTTATTGTGGATTTTAATACCGCTTGGCCACTGTTTGAAGTGAAAGGGTTTCCTAGTTAACTTGGTTTTAGTATGTTTTTCAGGTTTAAACAAGCATTCCACTTTTGAATCTCCAGCTTCCTTTAAACAGTGTTAAGTACATTTTGTCCATGACTGTTATAGCTTATGATTCAGTGAAAAAAAAAATTAATGTATGGTGTCCTTTTTCAGGTGTTAATGAAAATTCGAAATGAACTTGCGCATGCCCGGATGGATCTAGAACGGGCCATAAGAGGAAACTGTGGGGTAATATTATCTACATGTATTTAAAAGTATTTGTACATGTTGTCATTGAACCTTGATTTTAGATGGTCATGTAGTTGTTTTTGTTTAGTAACAGGACTGGCACACAATCAAGGAGAACATTTTAAATACAAATACACAGTTTACACATGTAATAATAATTATTATTTTATTACTACCATATGCAGGTTGATGCTGCCAAAAAAAGAGTAAAATGGCTTCAAGATAGGCTGGAAAAAGTTCTACTTACAGCCAAAAGTTACTGTCACTTGTATAACAGATCTTTACTGAGAAGCAAGGTACAGTTCCCAGTACCTGTAGCTAATTTGAGTCTTTTCATGGGTAAATACAACATGTAGGTAGGGAATCAAACAGCTAGGGATTTATTTTGGTTTAATTTTTCTTCTGTTTTCCTATGAAAGTAGCCAGGGGCCATGTTCGTTTTAGTAGCTGGGGGAAATCCCCAGCTCCCGGCTCTTGATGACAGCCCTACATGAGCAGTCCAGATCACATTTACTGTAGATGGTAGTGTAATCAGACAATGTTTATGTTAAGCCCAGTGCAAACAGATGCAACATTTTTGGATGTTACATGTTGAGTCCGTTTGCCAACGTTTAGAGCTTTGTGCAAACGGAAGCAACAACTCCCAACATCGTTGGGCCAACAATTTTGGGAGTTGTTGTGTCCATTTGCTCATAGCTTTACATGTCAAAATTAATTTGAGCTCAGGTTAAAATTTTATAACCTACTGTACAACATGTAGGTTGATTCTCACTTTCCACTGTCTTCTAGGGCAAGCTAGGAGATAAAGAAAATTGAAAATCAACCTATACTACAGTTAATAGGGTATAAAATCAAAATTAACCTGAAGTCAAATTTGACTTGTAACATTGTGTTTAAATGATGACTGTAATGTTGTTTAAATTGGATTCTCTACATTTTATAAATTTATGTTAAGTCATTTTTAATTTTGATAAGAGTTTACTTTATAACAATTTCTTTTCAACTTCAGACACCTCAGTCTGGCTTAAAGGATCAAATTTCTGAAAAGATTTGGAATAAACTTTCTGAAGGCCAACAGCAACTGTTGCTTGAAAGTGAGGAAAAGAACAAACCTAGTATTGTGGATGACAACCAGGCCCTGCCAATTGTGAAGGAAATTACAAAGATGCAGTTGCCACAGACTGATTCAGCAGGTAATTGATGTCCTGTTCAGCTGTTTTGTAGATCTTGGGCATTTTAGTCAATGCCACTCAAACATATAACTACATGTTCACTATCCTTCATTTACTGACATTTATCCTCCACTTCAATCCTGAAAATACCCAAACCTATTGCTACAGCAGAAGGAGGACTCAGTGACAACAATAAATGGGAGAGAGGGGGAAATCTTTTGTAAAGCAAGAATAATTCCCTCTCTGAGGTGCATACCAGAAAACCTATTTTTACAAAAGTGTCTTTAACTTATTTGGCAACTTGTCGTAGCTAGGTGCATATGTTACCGGTCAAAATTAAATTTTATAGCTAATAGGTTAGAATAATGTTTTTAACCTACAGTACAAATGTCAGACAAAAATAGTTGAGACACTTCCAACTTCTGGCCCATCTCCTTGTCCTCCCAATTAACAATCGAATGAGGCTGAGTATCATCTGAACAATTTTATGGAAATCGAGGGTGGTGTTTAATACGGCCTTGGTGGATAATACCAACTGAGATCTCCATAATTCTTCAGATGAAATGAAAGTCAAATTCAATAATAATTATTGAATTCAGCTTTATTATTTAGTCAAAATAGTTTTAGTTTAAAAACAAGCTATTAAACATGCTTACCTCCATCGATGTTAAGTTCATCTTCGATAGTGCATGTTTATCGGCAAATTTAGGAGATAAAGGGTTGTTCAGGTCTGCAAAAATTGTCAATATTTTTTCTGTACCCTGTAGCGGATGTCGTCCATCGAGTTGTGTTCTTACTGTTCTTGCTATGTTTTAGTCAATAGTTGGCCCACTTCTTCCTTGTGAAACAAGTGAAACATTCTGCCATTTTTTAGTCACAACCAAAACAACTCATCCTTGTCGCCAGGTCTTCTTGGTTAACGGTTCGATATTCTGGCAAATTTGCTGCAAATTTTGTGCGTTTACTTATGTACTATACTCTGTAATTTTAGAGGCTCTAACAGTGGAGAGTGAGAACAGAAATACAGAATTTAAGGACAAAGAGTCAGGTGTCTCGGTATTCATTACAGACGCAATACAACAGGGACATGGTATTGGACCTACCACACAAAACAGGTGAAATTTCAGACATTTTCTGTTAGTTACCATTAAGTCTAAAAAACTTTGTTGATTGTACAAAGTAGGGTGTGTGCAATTGAGCCATGCAAATAATTATAGTTGAATTTTAGAACCCTTTTTATGGACATGAAACTGTAGTTTTAACTTCTGTTTTGTGTTATAATTATATGAGTTAAAAATCTTTGCAGTCACGAATAAAAATTTTACTCCAAATAATGAGAGACCGTTGAATTCTTAATGGTGACCAGATTCACAAATTGGAAAAGTTTTTGCCTAAAAGAAGTATACTAGTGCATGTAGATCAACTTACACTTACAGTAATTGTTGTTCGACAGAAAACAGAGAAAAAGATCAGATGCCTCCAAGCCCTCTAGTGATAATTTAGGCTCCGACAGAATGATAGAACTGTTTCCTCCAACCAGTGCCCGTGATCGTCATTCTGACCAAGAATCAGTCACCACTGCTGAACCTCAGTCAGAGCCAGAAGACTTTGATGATCACAGATCTGAATCCATTGTGAGTTCAATGGGTGTTCATGAAGCAGATGGGACTGAACAAGATACAAGGAGTGTTCCAACACTGGAAGTAACTACTCCTTCTGAAGCAGATGACGGAACAAGTAAAGGTACATAGTTTTATTGTGGATTTCTAAATACAGTGGAACCCCATTACAGTACTATACAGTTGTGTATGCTTGGCCTGTGAAATCCTGGTTGTAGTTTAAAGGGGTTGTATAACAAGGTTTTTACAAAGGAAAAGGCTAAGCATTCTTTAACAAACTCAACTCTCAAATGAATGTTTGGACTGAGCTGAAATTCAACCTATACTTTGCGGGAGGGGCTAGAACTAACAAGCCTGTGAATGAGCTCTCCATTTTAATAATAATAATGATGATAATAATAATAATAATAATACTTTATTATCCTGTCCCCTTATGGGGCTTTTCAGGGATAATGAAACAAATAATTCAAATTGAACATAACATGGTTAAACATCCCAACTGGTATGAGGTAAACCAGCTGGCTATTTTTACAAGTGTGGTCAAGGACTTGAACTCAGGACTACTGTGTACAAATCCAGCTGGTGGTCAGGATGGGACTTGAACCCTGGGTCTCCGAATTACAAGTCCAGTGTTCTAACCACTCGGCCATGCTGCCACTGTAATTTTGAGTGGTGATCAAAGTGTGCGGCAACTGAGATCATGCGATTTAGTGTTTTTGTCATTTGTGGTGAAGGAAAGGAGTTCAAGCTCATAGCTCGCTGATGACGTCCTACAATAACCCCCTCCACCCCAGATGAAGAGCTTGATCACATGCTAAGTACTTGCCAAGTCATGAACCCAGTCTACCCTCTAGGGCTCTATTACTAGCCCCTGTTTAGGAATGATTTTGCCTGTGCTCCTTCTGTGGGATGTTCTAGACTTGAGAAAACCACAGAAGTCAAGCATAACTCTCAGCTGTCCCTGATCTCCCAAACAAGTGATCATGAACTCTCGCTGTCTTTGTGAGGTGGACTTGAGGGTGGAATCAGGATTAGCGAAACTTAAGACATTTTAACAAATATAATTTTTTAAACCAGAGAATATAAACAAAACCATTTAGATTGATTTTGTAAAGGAAACATGTCCTTGTGATTCCTTCCAGGCCCAGAGCACTCTGAAGATGTAACTGCAGCTTCAAAAATGAATGCAGTAGAGGAGGAAGATGATGTTTTCGTTGATACTGATGATGAGGATAAGGTTGAAGCATACTGGGGTTCAGATCATCACAAGTTTGAGTGGTCGGATTATATGCAAAGCCTGGATCCACGTTCATGGCATGCCCTTGGACTCGGTATCCCTGAAAGCTTCTTATCTAAAGGTTGGTATTAATTCAACCTTTGCAGGTACACCTTTTTTGTGTTAAAAGAATAAGCATCCCAGATTTGATTTGCACGGCAATATTTTAAGATCAAGTAAGATTGACTGTTTGCTAAGAACTCCCACTACAGCTGGACTTATTAACCAGCCAATGTTTTGCAACCACAAAAACACTCTTGTTGTCTTACAGTTTATCATCATGTTTGCAATAGAGTTTGTGCTTGCCGTGATTCTCTATAATCTTGATGTGTAGCTATTAGCTAGATTGGATTTATAATATATAATAATCATGTCATTCATTATGTCTGATGACAAGTTGCCTTTGTTTGCTGCAAAAACTATATAGGGCATATTAAGACAAACTAGAAACAGATATTCAGTAGCTCATTGTGTGGATTGATGGATGCACTAGATATTAATTTTATTTCAATCAAGATGGTTGGGTATTTTACAGAGATCTTCCTGTATCTGGTGAATAATATTTTTCAAAATGAAATTTTTTCCTGTTCAGAAAAAACACATTTTGACCCAGATTTACCTTGGAAAGAGAAGCCAATGAAAGTCAATAGTGTCATTGATGTACATGTAAGTATTTGTAAGAAAGTTGTAAATCGTCTGAGTCTCAAAGTACTTCTCATTTGCAGCCTGCACCAAACATACACTATGAATGAAACTAATAATGTTACAAAGGCTATTACTTGTTTTTTTTATCACTAGCGTGGGAAGCAGCCAGCTTGGCTTTTCGTGACACCTCTGTTGGTTTCTCCTCAAAATGACGTCTGAGGAACGACCCCACTAATTCCATAGTGGTGATGCATCACTACCCACATCTAACCTGCGAGCAAGCTCTCTGGGGCACTCTGACGGTGGGGCGGGAAAAGGAAGGAGAGCTTGCAACTACGTCTCTGGAATTTAAATTTCACCTCCAATCGCCCTGTGGCTCCCCATCATCTAAGGAGTCAGATTTCCACCAATCAGCGCAAAACGGAAATGAGTGCAAATGTAAACGAACATTGAAAAGCAAGTGCCAAGGGTAATGATGTCATTACTAATGTCATCTCCGCCAATTAGCATTTCGCATTGACTTTTCCGAGGCAGGTATTCAGAGAGATAAAGTTGCATTTTAGCCCTCCTTCCTTTTCCCACCCCGTCACCAGAGCGTCCCGGAGAGCTTGCTTGTAGGCTAACCCACATCTGGGTAGTGCTTCTGATTGGCTAAAAATTTGCTTCATCCAATCAGAAAACCTACATGTACCAGATCTTAGTAGTGATGCATCACCAATATGAAATTTCTGCCTCTTTGCCCAGACGTCATTTCGCAAGGAAACCTGTGGTTGGCGTTATAAAATGTCAACTGTTTCCGTAGGCTATTTTATCACTTTTGATACATTACTTTCTTTTGCCCCGTTTACAGATACATAAGTACGACAATGGTAAAATTTACGATGTGTGAAATGATCATGATTACTTTTTTGTTTGGCAGAAAATTGCTTTGGATAAACTACTGGTGAGACTTCACAAGATGTATGATGCTATAGGCCAAGCAACACAAACAACGATTGATCCAGCTACAAAAGTTGAGAAAATAGAAACAGTCATGGGAAAGCTGGAATGTAAGAGCTGTTGTACATTTTAAAATAAACCAGTAGCTTTTTCATTAGCGGTAATTTTCTTGAGGTTCAGTTTTATTGAAGGGGTAAGATCATTACTTTTCAAGCAAAATTGTCACTTGCTCTCTTTTTTAACCAATGCAACCACCCAAAATTATGAGATTATGAAAGGTAACTTCTTTGCAGCGTGCAAAGAAAGTAGTGTCCGATAGCCCGGGGCTAGTGGATTTTGCTATCGGGCTAGTGAATTCTGTTTTTAACTTGCCCGTCAACAGAAGAGAAGAACTGTGAAATCAATTCTGCTAGTCAAAAAGTTTTGGGGGCTAGTTAAAATGACGTCTGGGCTAGTAAATGCTAGCTTCAGCTTGCCCGAATGGCAAGCTGTAAAAATGAGTTTCTTTGCACCCTGCTTTGTGAAAAAGCTATGCTGAACTGCAGTAATTTCCAAGATAGCAAATGGTTCAGTGTCATTAAATTATGTTTCATTTTGTGCTTCTAGTTGAGTGGTTAGTTTTCTTTGGTGAAATAATGGCCGAACGCAATTGGTGAGTTAATAACGAAATGTCAAAATCTTTTTCTTTGTTTTAGTGGAAGTGGAAGGGCCAGGTTCAGTTACAGAGAAACAACAGGTACTTAACTAGCACATTATTTTTTTAGAGTCCCGCGCTACGGACACCAGCTCGCGGACAAGTTTCTTTGTCCCGAGAAAGAGCTCAAATAATTCAGGATTTTATCCTTCTGCCGTCTTATTAAGGATATAACACGCCTTTTTAAATGTTACTTCTTTGGTTTCGTCAGGGTACACAACCATCGATATCAAAACAAGCCAGCCGTGTTAGTTTGCCTCGCATTAGCAGCCCAGTTGGTGGACAGAAAAGTATAATGTCCATGGAGAAGTACCCTGTAACCATACATGAACCTTCAGCTGTAAGGACTGCACGGCAGGTATGTGCCTTATTTCATGTCTCCCTTCTCGTCATCACTGCAGTAAATAAAAACACTGTTTCACCAACAACTTTGTACGTGCATCACGCTTGTACGTTTCTTTGCCATCATTCTCCGCTTCAGATTAGGGAGCTTTAGCAACGACGACGGCGACGGCAACGAGTGACGTCAAAAAGGCATTAGGTTTATTACGCAAAACAACACCTTTTCACGTGCATCACGCTTTTTTGTACATTTCTTCACCGTCCTTGCACGACTACGACGTGAAAATGCCTAATTGCAAGTTTTATGGAGAACGTAAACAAGCGACGACTGATCTCTTTTTTTCTCTCTAAACTTGAGTGTGGTCCTCAAGAAATCAACTCTAGGGAAATTCACCTACACTTGCCATTTTCAGCAAATTGGATTAAACTCGACAAAGATTGAAAAAACGGGAATTCATTTTAAAACTGACGTTTTTCGCTGCCGTTGCCGTCGTCGGTGCTAAAGCTCCCTAATCTTTTGAGAGAATGGGTCAAGATTTGGGCGCATTGGTTTCTGGGATCGTTTTGGTGAAATGACATACGTTAGTCAACCATTAACCAATCACAAGTAACGCTTGTCCACCCAAACGATTCCAGAAATCGTTGCGCCGAAGGCTTGTACCCATTTCCCTTATAGTAAGTGGTGTGGGGAATGGCACCACCACGGCGTAAAACTCCCTAATTTCACTTTTTGTGGAGAACTACTAGAGAGGTTAAGCATCACGTTTACGTCAAACGGCAAACCCGAATTTGTACCACGTGACCAAGTTTCCCCATTACTTATCGTTTACTGTATTTTCGTTACTAAATCAAATCAAATCAAATCAAATATTTATTATGTAAGGATACATAAGAGGAAACGTCAGAGGTTATCCCTATCGAGGACGCTCCCTACATAAAATATAAAATAAATATACTACAATGTAACATTTAAGAATAATTAAGAAATGGCTAAAAAAATTTACAAAATTTTACAAAACTTTCCAAGTTTACTTCGAAAAATGCTGAAATTAGTACTACCCATAAATTAGTAGTTTCGCGCAATTTTTTATCCACAAGAATTGTTTTGAGCTGTTTTTATATGCTCATTTTCTATTTTGAGAAATTCTCAACTTGAATTTGCCCGTATACGCGAAGCTTAAACTCCCTGGGTTGGTTATTTAAACGAGGTCAGCTAACTTAGCCTGCAGTTTAAGAAATCTTTGGACCTCCAGATCTCTTCTTTAGTGGGTCAATTTAAGAAAATAGAAGCTTTTCTATTCTAGACTATAATGCTTGAATGAAACTGTTCACGACAAATGGTGCTTAGATAAAAGCGTTGGGCAAACTGAAGATGACTTAGATCGCGGTTTTGTTGAACAATGGTTAAACTCCGTTTAAATAAACGGCCCTCTATTTTCTCATATTTTCCTTGCAATGAACCCATGAACTGAACCATTTTGTCAATGCGAAGTACAAGGGGATGGGGAAAGCTCGATTTACCCCCTATTTATCGTCTTCCTTCCACTTTGCTTAATAATAAATAATCGATTTCCATCATTTCCATTGAACCTTTTTTTAAAATTTATTTCAGAATCGCCAAAAGCTTTATCCTCAACAATCATCTGCCTGGTGTGACGATCTTGACAGAGGCAACCGGATGCCAAGAATTGTGAAAGTAAAATCAAACCCTAAACTTCACAGATCGAAAAGTGTAGCGCAGGTTCGTGTCGGCTGCTGGAGCATATAAGAGGGATTTAACCTTATTTTTATTTTATTTTATTTTTTTTGCTTTTGTTTTTTTGTTGTTTATTTGTCAGTTTCTGTGAATTTAGAAGACCCTACGTTGTATATTTGGGTTGTAAGATGGCTTTCTTAACAATTCGTCTGTTAGTTTAGGCCTCGTTCACTCTTCATATTCCGCTGTCCAATCATCTTTGTTTTCGATGGTTTAAAGCATTTACAACTAAAAATTATCGAAGAAGATTTCAGGAAACCCACGATGAGCCTGTGCTACTTACAGTCTACTGATTAAAACAAATATTTTCAAAAACGCTGCCCCAAGTAGGAATTTTTGGTAACGGAAAGTTAAAGTTTTCTATGCGCGAACAGCAGAAACGTAGTTTTTTGACAACGCTGAATTACTAAAGTTCGATCCATCCAGTCTTTCATAAAATGGTCCAGCAAGCACAAGTCAGTTGAATGGCGGAAAGGAATATAAATACACGTGTTTGAATGTAAAGCGTTTAACATATGAGCCTTCAAATGTTTTTGTTTTCAAGTAAAATCAATTGCACTGACAATGCTTACATACGGCCACTGCTTTTACTGAGTAATTTCTAACTCTTGCCCCATAGCTGTTTGAAAAAGTGAACCCAAATAATAAACCTACTAAAAACATCGTAAGCCTTATTTTTTTTTTGCTTTAATTGAGTACAGCTGTATGTTTGAAAAAGAAACCTTTTGTCTTAATTTTCCAGCCAAGATACTTGCCGAAAAAACAAGACAGTCCAAAAAGTGAGCGTCAACCAACAGAACTGTAAGTGTTATTTAGAAATTTAATTTTCTACTGTTGTGGAGTTGAAGTACAAAGTATGTGTTAACAACCTTCGGTACATGTGTTATTTATTGACTTCAAAAGTACTTCGGCTTCCCATTTACAGTGGGGAAACTGAAAAGTCTGATTGGAAGAACTAGTGGTTTATGCCATGTTGTTTGAAAAGCTGCAGAAAATGTGGGATGTCGTTTAAGGCGATCAGTAATTTTTCCATTCGTGTTAAACTCCCCAGCGGATTCAGGTATAATAAATGTGGGACTTACTCACATCTTCTTGTCTGCTTAACACAAGGTTGCCGACGCTTAATGTAGGTTTCAATGTAATAAGCCGAACTTTACTAGCCTGAGAAAACAACCGACATTTCTTGACGCCACCCTGGTTTACCCGCAAAATTCCTACTTCTGAGGAATGACTTCAGAAATTGATAGTGGTACGTCATCAGTACTGAATTTCTGCTCTTGTTCCTCAGACGTTAATTCGCGGGGAAACCACTGGTGACGTCGCGAAATGCCGGTTGTTTTCTTTGGTCACATCTTAACCCATGTTCAATCAACCATTTCAGGGATCTTGCGAATGAATCAATTTGGAAGCCATCGATGGTAATGAAGATAGTTACTGCTCTGAAAGGTATTGTTGCTGTTAAGTTTGCCTATCCTCGTGTCTCAACTAACCAATCTAAGATACGCTCTATCATTTTCTTACTAAATGTTGTATGGCTCTCTGTACAGGATTCAGTATGGAAAGAGAACAGAGCTTGTTAGATCGTGATGGCCCAAAATGGAAAAGAATCCAGGTACTGTCAGATTAATACCATTTGTCGAATAGAAAAAACAACCCGTTGTGTTTAAGCTACCTCTCTTTAGCCGCGAAAAAAGTGGTCGCCTATTGTAGGTTGTGCGTAAGTAGAAGTGGACGTTCATTTTTCGATCGCTCCCACAGCGAGAGAAAAATGAGAGGAATGATTCTCTCTCCTTCTTGTCATTTTCCTCTCGATGTGAGAGGCCTTTTCAGGAAGGGAAGCTGTATCTTCAAAGATACCAATAGCCACGGGAGAGACACTGGTAACTAGTAACCAGTCCTGCAGAGATATTGAAGGCTTTTATAAATTTGCAGTAATGCTGTAAGCGTTTCTTTATTTCTCGAAGTAAATTTTTTTCAGATTCTGCTAGGTGAAGGAGGAATTTTGTCATCAAATTCAACAATAGCTGCAGAAGCTGCGAAGGTTAGCAATAACCTTTGACTTATGTAATACTTTCACTCAGATTTGTCTGTCGCTCGAGTCACAGGTGACCCAAGAACGTTGTAAGAGTGGGAAACCCGGGTACTAGAATTGAATTAAGTTTTTTAAATGCACAGATTAGCGAATTTTTATCTGCTCGTAATTTTTTTCCTTTTCTTTTAAATGTACAAACAAATTTTACGAGAAAGTGTTATCAAACTGTGGATGTCCTGGCGTCTTTGTTGGTTTTTCCACTCGACGTTCTGCATTATGCTTTTTAGATTTCCTAGAGGAAGAAGTTAGGCCCTAGCTTTTAAGTGTGACTTTTGACCTCGGGATTGGAATACTGTCCGTTTGTACGGTTTTTGTTTTTACCGCATTTTTAAAGCGAACTTCGGCGACTTGTCTGAAATATATTCTCCAACCGCAAGTTGTCCCTTTACGTAGTTGTAATATTGTTGTCCACAACCTTTAGTTTTGTACTCAAGTGCATTCTACTTATGTTATCATTATGTCAACGGCGAAAAAAACACTTTCAGTACAGTCAGGTCTAATAAAATATACTTGCTGATCTTTTTTCTAGACTATTGGTCAACTAAAGTGCCATGAAAAATGTGTGGTAGATACACTAAGTCATGTGGTAAGTACCCACCTTTTCTGTTTAAGCAAAAATAAATTAGGGCCTCGAGCTTAGAAATTTCAGGTGTTTTCCTTGTCTGATATTCTTTGTGTGGGTTCTATAGATATTTGTTCTGGTTAAAACTAACCTTCGCTTCGATTGGCAAGGGTTACATTCGGCCTATGTTGTCATGAAAGCGATCCCTTCAAGCAGGCTATAGCTGTTGAGTTTGATCTTAATAAGTTTCCGTTGGTCCTGTGTTCATATTTAATTGTTCTTTTTTGCAGATAAAATTACAGAGAGATCCCAAAGTCTGTTACGAAGCCTGCAAAGCAATGATCTTGTTAGGTCAGTCCATCTATTCATGCACATACCTCTTAACTGCTTGGAATGACACTTGGCGTGTGATCTAAAGAGCAGCTGAAAATAAGAAGCCTAGAGGAATTTATATTTGTGGTAATTTTATGTTGGAATATTTTTCTACAGGGACGTGGGATCCATACGCCATGGGGGTAATCAGACAGTACATCAAAAGAGGTAAATGATTAAATCGTCTTGTAACTAAACCTTAAGATGTACCGCAGCCACCATTTGCAGGCACAACTCAAAGGAAAATTAACAAGTAGCGAGAAATACGGGAAAATATGCGACTGATACTAAGTGCGGATAAACATGCGCCTGATGACAAATTTGAGTGGAAACGTAATACATATGTTTTTTGCCGGTTGTCAAACAGTTTGAAAAATATTTGACGAAAAGTATCGAGTGGACTTAAAACACCTGGTGCATGACCTCGCACCAATCACATTCCTTCATCAATAGTTCTNTTTGAGTGGAAACGTAATACATATGTTTTTTGCCGGTTGTCAAACAGTTTGAAAAATATTTGACGAAAAGTATCGAGTGGACTTAAAACACCTGGTGCATGACCTCGCACCAATCACATTCCTTCATCAATAGTTCTGTCGTTTCATAGATTTTCTTCCGTAAAATGCATTTAGTGTAGCTGTTGTAGCATCGAACACACTAGGCCGCTGTACGCTATTCTCCCCATTTTTGTGCCCAGAACTTGACGGCGATAAAGAACCACGAGAAGACTGTCAAACGTTTTGTTTGGCATGGAATACATGTACTGGAAGCAGCGTTGTCATGTCGACATGTCATCAGAAGCTACTGTGACTGTGTAAATGAACAAAAAGGCATGTGAAAAGCATAACACATACAATAAAATGAATATCTTAAAAGATGATGCATTGTAAGTTTTCCTCGTTTTATTTCACGTTCTCAATTCTTGGTCATCCTCTTTCTTTCTTTTTTTATCCCAGGAAACAAGGATATTGTGCTGGAATTGTTATCGACAATGACGAAAGCAAGAGATATAGCATTTGTTGATAAGGTAAGGGATAATTTTAAAAAAATTGGTAGAAGAAAGCAAAAATATAAATTTGTTTGAGTGAGGAGCTTGACTTGTACAGTGAAGCCGACCTATATTCGTTAATCTTTGAAATAACTCCGTTTGCCTTTATTTATTTACTTTTTCAAATTGATACACGAACTGTGTTTTGGCTTACATATTATTGTGCTCTTTCAGACCACAGCTGAATTCAAGAAGTTGGTGAATTTGCTCATCTTTACAATAAAAACTCAGTCTCCCGAAATGGCATTTCACGCCGCAGTGAGCTTGGGCCGACTATGCGTGGTAGAACCTGTCTCGAAATCGTACCTCATTTCCAGGCTTCCTGGGCTGTCTCCGCACGAAAAAGGAGAGGTGGGTCCCTGTTATTGTTAATTTGAATTAAAAAAAAAAAACACGGTTTAGAGGAAGAAATTCAAGGAATTCCATCACTATGTGAAGAGACACTGATAAACCCGGGGCGGGGAGGGCTGCCTGCGGAAAACTTGGACCAGTGAAAAAGGTTAACTGCTTGAAGCCTTAATCCCAATTCAAACCAAAATATGGAATCCAGTTTTCCTACCCTGTCTTATTTCAGGCGTAGCCCAAAATTCGATGCCTTACTTTAGGCAATCAAATTAACCAAAGTGAGCTTCCTGAGAGATGAATAAAAGTGTGCTTCTTTCAAAGACCATAACCAACTGCAGACTAATCTGTACCTTATTTCGGACCAGAGCAGATGTGTGATAGACCATTTCCCTTGTCTACCTGTTACATTGACTGACTGACTGACTGACTGGTTAATTCAATGATCATTCACCTCCAGGCACTTTACGTTTTGATCAAACAAATGAACTGCAAGGACAGACTTGTTATAGATGCTTTACTAGAACAACTGAGTTCTGCTTATAACTGGAAGGTAAGACTTTTATTTTGGCTACTTATTTGCTCTGGAAAGTGTATCTCATTTTTCTACTCTTGTAGAGGCTAACAAGATACTTATAATCTTTGAAGTGTTACTGGCGGGCGAGTAAGGCATGCTGTAGATCCACTGATCAGCTTTGATTCGAAAAGGATCGTTTAAACGCTTTTTCTAACACTCTTTTCCCTTTTTGTCTGTTGAACAGCTAAGAATGGAAGCAGCAGACTTACTGATATTTATGGGTATGTACAAGGACGACTTAATGCTTATCTTGATATGAAAGCCAAAATAATACAAAAGGTACAAGCGAACAGACAAAAAAAAAATAAAAATAAAACAAAATTTACCTCAGCCCTTTCTCACGTACAAGTCTTGGCAGCAACGGTGTGCACATATGTAAAAACCTACTTGATCATATCTGCAAAAAGAGCAAAGGGATTGTTTTTTTTCAAACTTTTCGCGTGCTTTTCCGTTCTTTTTTGACGTTGTGTTATCTTTGGGAAGGTCTCATTCACACGAACTAAGTAATGTAATGTCGTGGATTAAAGAACAACAGGACGCGTCCTCTTTAAATTATATATATTATTAAAAATCATGTTAACAGTAAGCTCGGACGTCAGCATACAAGGGCGCCAGTGGCAGCCCCTATCAGTACATTTATGAGCTCGCTGTAACCCACCGATAGCCCATGATATGAATGGTGTTTGATAAACAAATGAAAAATGCAAGCAGCGGTACACGCACAAGAGATGTTCACTCTTCCAGTGTAGTACCACAGTGAGATTCGCACGCGCATTTTAACAGCCTGCATCTAAAAATGGTGGGCAAAAATTTTTCACCTTGCGTTTGCGTCGTCCTGGTGTACACGTGTTTTAGTGCAAACGCACGCACAAACGCAAGTGCAAGATTTGAAAAATACTCCAATCCTTTGGTCGATGTTTGCGTTTGCGTTGAAGTAGTTCACTCGCGTTTTTTTTTTTCTACTCTAACACGTTTGCGTCGCTGGTGTGAATCAGTCGTGAATCTGTCTTTTGTGTGTTTATTACAGGAGCCAGAGATGTGTTTAAGGTTAAAAGTCCCGATGAAGTGTTTGACACACTAGAAAGATTGCTGTGGGATCACGCGAATAAGGTATGAAAATAATTGAGAAGCTGCGTATAATTTCTGCAGTATGCGATTTGGTATTGAAATTAGCTAATCATATTGTCTGGCTTAATTTGCGTCCGCCTGATACAGACTTTTTTTTCCACAAAAGGACCTCCGTCTTTTTTGGTGAAGTTGGTGTCTGTATAACAAAGGGTATCAGCTTTATTTGGCGTCCGCTTATTTTACGCTTTATTTACTGTTATTTTTTTTGCAGGAATTAAGGATTAAAGTTTCTGAAGCTCTGTCGTCACTGGATTTACGACAAAGAGCAATTCAGTTGGTTCTCCGGTATGTGAAAAAGTTTTTGTCATTCATGAAGCTGTCCGTTTGTCTCATATCTGCCCGCTGCAACTTGATTGATTTTACACCAAAACGTACTACATCAGTTTAGAACTGAAGCTCTTTTTAGAGCGAAATCAATTCTAGTACTAAACTGTTCATCGCGTACATGTTATATAATAAACCATGAGGTACAAACCAGAGCCGTGTCGCGAAATTTATCAAAATTCAAACAGTGAGAACTGCCACCAGATTGGGTGAAACTAAAAAATAACTTCTCAGTACATGGAAAGAAGGTTGAAATAACTCAGCAAATACAAAAGGAAGCACGGATGAACAAATCTGAAGAAGATGGAAACGGATTCGCTATTGTGGTTTTTGAAAACTTGAAGACTTTTGTCGTTTGTAACGTTTGATATTTTGCTTAGAGGACATATTGTTCGACACGAAGCTCTGATATTGTTATTCAGAAGCAATTTCTCAAGCTCCGTAGCGAATAGAGACGCGTAATTGGTATTATTGACAAAATGAACTAGAAAGCCCGAAAGCCGTGATACAGCATCTTAAAATGCTGCTTGGTAATACTGTTTAACATTTGATGATTGTTGTTGCCTTTTGTGTTTAATACACCGGAATGCGGCTTCCTTAAAGCTGTCGTTTAATGTATTTATCTTACAGACATTGGCTTATCTAGTGCAATTTAAATCAGACAAATTTCCATTAGTCAGTTTAAACCAGTCAGGAGTCAGTAAACCAATACACAGTAGTAACCAGTTGCACGTACGCGTTTCCCGCGTTTTGATATAGCAGTCCACGCTTCCTGTCTTGATTGGTTCATAGTTTGTTCGTCCGTTCTGATTGGTTTAGCATCATTCAAAGAAAAACTTAGCACTTTAAAAAGCGCATCATAATATTCTCTCTTTAATAGACGTCTAGAAGACCCAGCTGAAGAAGTTCGAGCTCGTGCAGTGATTTCTTTGGTATGTTGAACAGTATTCGTATTAAAGGTTACTCATAGTCTTTATATCGACTCTGTACATACATGGCCCCAGTTCCGATTAGCGCTAACCCGAGTATAAATTTTAATCCTCTTTTTCTTTTGTTCAAAATCACTTTCTCGGGTAATGTTCTTTTAACAGCATCCAATCATCAAATTGTAGACAAAAAGAATTAAACTGAATTTTCTTTTTTGAGCGTTTATATCTGAAATCGAGTTTGGCACTAACCCTGGGTTGTCTTGACCTAGCTTCGTAAAAACCGGCCCTGTGCAGGTTTAGGGCAGCTGGCTAAGTTTATGGTTAAGTTTATCCGATATAAGCGACATCCTCCGGTAACTCAGGAGTAGTCAGTCGGGTCGGGAAGAAAGCTCTCAACGAACGTTTCCAAGCACGAACGGAAGAGCTTCGTGCTTGGAAACTTTCGTCGTGCCGTTTCTCCCTTCCCGAAGGACTCCTTCTGGGTCTCTGAGGATGGATTAGCGCCAACACTGAAACGAGACGGGCATTATTGTTCTCTATTGTTTTATTGTCTTACGATACCCAAAAAGACGATCCTTGTCAATTCGTTGTAGCTTAGTTCGACTTCGACTGCTCTGGAATTAAGCGTAAACCTTAACAAAGAAAAAGCTGAAGAGAACTAGAATGAAATATTAATAGCTAGGAAAAAAAAAACACATTTCTCCCGGCCAAAACTTTGGACTTTCTAGACGTTTATTATTATAGTCATTATTTCCCGCGCCTTGACTGGCCAACGCATTTTTGTTTCCAGGCCACTCTCGGGATGAAAGGGGTAAAGGAAATGAAAGCGCTGCTCGACATATTAGAACTGGACTCCAGTGTTTACGACAGAATTCAGGTAAAGTTATGTGGATTATTTTGGAAATTCCCTAAAATTACCATCATTTGAATACGCACACAAAGCCGATTGAATTTCGTCTTGCAAAATTTGCTCTTGAGGTTCGTGGTCTTTATAATCAAAAATCACCACGTTGAAATACTGCTCAGGTCCTTTATCCTGTTTTGTGCTGACGCAGCAACTTTATGCAGTGAAGTTGACACACGTTTGGCGGGTTTTATCTACCAAATCAAAAACAACAAAATTAGTTTTTAGGATTTGTGCCATGATACACATGTCGAAGAAAAATGTTCGGAAACACCTTTTCCAGTTTTTTTTTATCACTAACTGCGATGTGAAGGTGGTGTAGAAGGTTCTCTCATTTATTTTCCAGGTTGTTAGAGCCTTTGGCAACATGGAATGGAACGACCCACGAATTCTTCGAAGTTTAAGAGAGCGAGAAAAGGGCGAGGGCATACTAGCAGCGTAAGCAATGATCTCGTATCAATTCTATCACCTGAATCCTCGAAATAAAACAATACCAAACACCGGGGAGTGCGGTGTTCCAATATTATTGCTACACCCGCAAATGTTATTTGACACGCGTCGAACAGCGCCGCAAAGCATAGGTCAAAACAAAAACGAGGTTTTCTGCTAATCACTGCGCTCGACAAAGTTTATTGTAAGACCCCGATTCGGTGTTTCTCGACATTCATTCTAAAACCCATTTTCTGTCCTTAATTTTACTCGCAACAAACTTCTTTGCGGTTATCTTGGAGGTCAGATTTGGTCTAGCATGAGTTTGTTTTTCAAGTTCTCTCCCTCTTTGAAAAGTGCTCAATGTTATAACTGCGAGGTGTAGGTCATCGTTCACTTTCTTCTTAAATAGTTGGTATGTAATTCGATATCTATTCAAGCTGAAACTTTCAGTGTTGCTACCTTAAAGGTACTGTAAAACGGGTAACAAAAACGTGCAACTTGATTTGCAGCATCACCCTCTTTAAACCTTTATTGCAACAAATTAGGTTGTTGCAAGTTGCGAAAAGTTGACTCCCGCGTTTAAATGAGAAGTCGGTTGTCACGCAAGTTGCCTCATCAACCTTTATTTGTTGCAAGACAGGTTTGAACGTGGGTGGTAAGGGGCCGACCATTTGACTTTTAGGGGGACGGGGGATAGGTGATTTGGTTTGGGTAAGAATTTTTTTCCAAAACCTCTAGTGATAGAATTTTTTTCCCCCAACATACAAATGTGTAAGACTTTTTTTCCAAGATTATAAGCCATGATAGGTATTTTTTTTCAGTGTAGGATTTTTCCCTCGAAGTCGGTCTGCAGGATGTTTTTTTCTGAACTCACCCATACCCCCCACCCCCTCAAAAGTCAAATGGTCAGCCCCTAATCCGCGCAACATCGCTCTGCAGCAATGTTGCAGAACAAGTTGCATGTTTTTGTCAGTGTCCGTTTTCCCGTAGCTTAACGTTTAATGTTAAAATATCTTGTCGTAAAACTTTGAGTCTAAATTTAGAAATGCATTATCTTTATTATTTTGATCCGTTTACAGGGAAGCAAAAAAGACTCTTTTGTATCTTCTAAGGTTAGTACTTTTCCTTAAAATGGATTTCAAAATAACGGGTACATCCAAAACTGCGCCTCCTCGTGGAACTACAAACTGAAACTTCAAAGAGAGCAAGCAATCACAACTTTTCATTTTTTGCAAAGACGAGTAGAATCCCATGTTTCGTTACTAACGCTGAAACCTTTTGTCTGTAGTGGTAGACATGTAAGGTCGTAATACCAGCCCGAGTTGTTTTGTTTTATGAAGTTACTTAGTTTTTTAGTTTCTTAGGCTATCAAAATCTATAAAGTGAGACGGTTAAGTGCACACATAGGTTTTTTGGCGCGGAAAGTATCAAGAAACTAGGCTTGGATAAATTTGGCTCGTAAAATGGCTTATTCTGCCTGCCGGCAGTGCTCGTAAAAATCGCTTTTTATGTTCAAATTCCCTAATTAATGACCCTAATTCTGCTCGAATTCTGCTCGGTCTCGGCAATCATTACCTGCTGCGTTAGTTGTGTTTGGCCGGTGTGATAATTATTCGTTTGACTGACAACAAACTGACAGCATGCTCTGAAGGGTAAAATAAAAAGGTTGAGTTTGTTGACGCGCATTCACAGTTTGTGTTTTTCTGCCTTTTTTTTTTTCAGAAGTCCGGGCAAAACGACTTTAATAGTAGAATAAGCTCATGTTAGACCCTCTTACAGAAGGCCGAAGAGTTAGATGGACTCGTCTGGAGGGAAAAAGAGAGAGGAAAACGGTTGGCACGTTGTGTTGAATTTGTTTGATATTGTTTCCAAAATTATTAGCGTAAATTATTTCGTTGTAAATACCTCAAAGTCTATTTCTGTATAATAAATGCGGTTATTTGTGCTATGTAATCGTGTCAGTGTTTGTAAGTGAAATTTCTTTCCTGTGCCGCCAGTTCACTCAAAGAATTGCTTCGTATCTGCTCCCTACACAGCAGTTTTTTTAAAAACTCTGGCTGTCAAGTTGATCCCTCTAAATCATTTGGAAGCTTATCAGATTTTCAAGTTTGATAGCCGACAAAATGTAATTTTGGGGCTTTTTTCGAAGGGAAATCCGCAACTTTTTGAATCTGCTCTCCAGAGTGGAAATTTTTGAATACGCTAGAAATCCGGAATCGTGTAGACGCCAAATCCGAATATTTTTTTTATCCGGTGACGTAACAAGATGGAGCCCAGTTCTTTACCGTGAATATGGCAACCTTGACGCATGCTCTTTTGCCAATATTCCCAGAGGAGTCCTGGGTACTAGAGTGAATCCGGATACTTGTTGGATACGTGTGGACGGGAGAATTCGAATACGGAAAGGAAAAGTTGCGGATTCAAAAATACCCTGATGCGTGATACCTGATATGTGGACAGGGCCTTACAGTGTACTCGGGGCCCCTCAAAATTAATCGGCCAATCACAGGTTAGGTTCAAACAAAGGAGTCTGTCATTGATAGTTCGATAGCTAGTCAAAAACAAGTCGTGATAAAAAAAGTTTGACTTTGGTATTTTCTTAACCCATTTTTTAGAGAATATTTCTTTTAATTTCTGTGTTAGTGGGCCCCTGTTGAATTCATTTCACTGCAGCAAAGTTGAAGGTTTGGTAAAATGACTATCAACAGGAAAATCGAAGGTGAAAGGCGCAAGACATTTAGGAATTTTGGCTTCTTTTGACAGTTACACAGTGTTCAACTTTATTATGAACATGTATAAATATAAAGTATGAAAGTTAAACGTCGCAAGAAAATCGATGCCCGAAATTGACATTCAAGTGTTTGCCATGCGATTCAATTCAAAGTTAGTTCTTTTTGTCAAAAAATTGTCCACGTTACGTTAGTAAAGGGGTTCATTTTAGAAGCATTTACGATGAACAATTGATGGACCAGATTCATCATATTCTTGTTTGGAGATCCACATCTGTTGGAAGGTGGACAGAGAGGCCAAGATCGATCCTCCAATCCATACAGAGTATTTACGCTCAGGAGGAGCAATGATCTTGATCTTCATTGTTGGCGGGGCCAGAGCAGTTATTTCCTTCTGCATTCTGTCAGCGATTCCAGGGAACATGGTGGAGCCACCGGACAACACTGTGTTAGCGTACAGATCCTTACGGATGTCCACATCGCACTTCATTATTGAGTTATATGTGGTCTCGTGGATGCCGGCAGATTCCATTCCAAGGAATGAAGGCTGGAACATGGCTTCAGGACATCTGAATCTCTCGTTTCCAATGGTGATGACCTGTCCATCGGGAAGCTCGTAGCTCTTCTCCAAACTGGAACTTGTTGCGGCAGTTTGCATTTCTTGTTCGAAGTCCAAGGCAACATAGCACAGCTTTTCTTTGATGTCACGCACGATCTCACGCTCGGCAGTGGTGGTGAAGGAGTAGCCACGTTCGGTCAGAATCTTCATCAGGTAGTCGGTCAAGTCCCTGCCAGCCAAGTCGAGACGAAGGATAGCATGGGGAAGAGCATAACCCTCGTAGATGGGAACTGTGTGCGTTACACCATCACCGCTGTCCATAACGATGCCAGTTGTTCGACCAGAAGCGTACAGAGACAGCACAGCCTGAATGGCCACGTACATAGCTGGTGTGTTAAAGGTCTCGAACATGATCTGTTTAAGAATAAAAGAAGCTTGGTTTCAATATATTAAATCTGTAACCGTCTGGAACATTTTGCGACATGATCACAAGCCCAAGGACGGACTCCCATATTTAAGTTAGGGGGATGCATGGTCGATGTCTCGTATGTAAGCGATCGCAAACATGCCTTTTTTGTTGGACCCGATCCAGAGAATATGACTGCGATATGACGCAGATCGGTCGCCGATCGTATTCTATAACATAATATGTTAAACAGGCTTTATTCTGATGAAATAAATTATTGAGTGTGAAATGGTCCAACGTTTCTTTTCTTGTGTCGAGCCGTCTCTTTTAAACTTAAGACTCTAGTCTGCACAATGTGCGATGTTAGTGACAACGGACATCACGCTCGTTTAGCCCAAGTCTAATTAAAAGTCAATATTTCTGCAAAATTGCACAGAAGTCTTGGAGAACACCTTCTAGCTTTTTGTACGATCGGTTTGATTTTCCAAGTTTGAGAAAAAATGTACATTACAATGCATGGAAAAAGACATATAATTGTAAACTACATTTAGCACTAAGCATTTTCATGGACATCTAATAACCATGCCGAAGTTGGCAAAATTAGGCAGAAATTTCCTCAAGTTTCGAACATCGGTTTTTCTGTTCAGTGTATTTTGCACCGAATTCTAAATCGTAACTTCGCCGCGGGCTACTGGCGGACTTCTTACGGTTTGCTTTGTTTATCTGACCAATCATTACTTGACATGACCATATGTGGAAACAAGGTCTTTTTCGTTGCATTTACTTAGTAAAACATTCATTAGCATGTTAACATCATCTTGCAAAACGAAAACAAGGCATTGTATACTTTCTTTAGTATTAAACAATATGCTACCTTTCTGAGTGAATTCAACCACGCGGTCGCGCGTGGGTTATTCATTGGAGAGAATTAAAGCATCATGTATCTCAAATCTTCGCGTTCCTACTAATGTTCACCCCACGTATGTATCTCTTTTCTAATCATTACACGTAAAAAACAATTTCGATCTACTTATCGGCCGCAGAATACCGATTTCCGTTTCCTGAAAAAGGACTACTTTTTTAGCATACGTGTGTAGTGTATTGATAAAGGCAATATTAGTTTTTTACTTGGCTAGTTTTTTTAAGTATGACAGAAGACTTCAGTTAGAATCATTATAAAACAGCCCTTAACTGGTAAGAGATCATAATTAGACAAGGCAGATACGTTTAAGGCAACATTTATATATACCTGTGTCATTTTTTCTCTGTTTGCTTTTGGGTTGAGAGGCGCTTCTGTCAGCAGAACTGGGTGTTCCTCGGGAGCTACACGCAGCTCGTTGTAGAAGGTGTGATGCCAGATCTGAAATCCAAGGAAATCTTAGGTTTTAAAAATATTCTTATTCAGTGTTTGCACCAAGAGATTAACTTACTTTTTCCATGTCATCCCAGTTTGTTACAATGCCGTGTTCGATGGGATATTTGAGAGTCAGAATACCTCTCTTGCTCTGAGCTTCGTCGCCGACGTAAGAGTCTTTCTGACCCATTCCAACCATCACACCCTGATGCCTTGGACGGCCAACTATGGAGGGAAACACTGCACGAGGAGCATCGTCTCCGGCGAAACCGGCCTTGCACATACCGGAGCCATTGTCTATAACCAAAGCGGCAACGTCCTCATCGGCCATTTTAAATTGGAAGTTTTGCGCGAGATTAGCTAGAATTTATCACGATGGGTAAAGCGTAATGTATAAATGCCCTCGCTGTGGCACGGTTTAAATAATCGGCCGAAATCCGTGCTCTTAACTGATTGGCTCACAATAGACGTTATTTTTGCGCGTTACTCGCTCAAGTTTGTTTATAGAAATGACCAAACCAAAGTAACGTGTTTGCCCAATGTTTACAGTTGAAGCGAACAATTTGTGATTGTTCGCGTTTAATATATTTTTCTAGCTTGTACTTCGTTTTGAATATTATTACACAGCTTTTTTCAAGAATAGGGCCAATCTCCTGACCAAATATGGACATGTTTTGAACTGATTTTTTCAGCCCAATGGGCGGTAAAGTAAGTAACAGCTATCATAATTGTGATCGAGCAGGTCTTTGTTGTGTGTTTGGTGAAGAATCGTTTCAAAAACTTCCCCTTCAATTGTGACCAAGCTTAATTTACGACTTTTTATTCCAAATGACTAAAAGTCACCTGCTTGTATTTAAATGCTCATTCTGAGCACTGGTGTACGTTGAACGAGTCCAAGTGTCGCTTGTTTCTGACGGTCAGGTTATTTTAAAGAAACTTTCTACACTATTATGTTTTGGGTTATTTTTTATTTTAGATAATTATTTTAAAGACCTGAAACCCCCCACTCTTTTTTATAGTTATCGTCTCTTATGCAGGCTACTTTAAAGATCAACAACGTACTGTTTCGTTAATGACGTTCATATACCGAAAATGTGTTTACAAATGATTTTTTAACAGGCAGAAATGCATTTTCCTTTTAAGGTCAAAATTGTTTCTTTTTCGTCATTTATTATCACTTCTTTTGCTGCGGAGACAACGTAAGTAGCGGAGCAGCAGTTCATCGCACTTGACAATAATTCCGCGAACAGGCCAGGTTTATCTATAAATGAAAAAAAAAAGTTCTAGTTGACAACCTTAGCAAAAAATTCGACTTCCGAAGGTTTTACGAAGTAGTCCAAAGACTACGGAAGACATCAATCGATGATCTAACGATTTCCGAACATCTTACGAATTACTTGTTTGGATTAAAACGACAGAACAGAATTGACCTTGAATACGAAAAAGAAAACAGCTCCGATGGAAAAAGATGCCTTCGTCGCGTTAATCGTCCAATGGATTGCGCAAGCGCCGTGCTATCTTATGGGATCTCCGCCTCCTGGTCATGTGATAGAATAGCTATGTACATTTATAACCCCGGGAGCGAGTAACGCCATACTAGGGCTGTCACGGCATTTTCACGGACGGGTATATCTTGAGATTCATTTTAGAACACTTTTTCCCACGAAAGTGGAAGCTCCGCTTCCTTTGTGAGGTATATGAGATGAAAAAAAAAAACGTCCAAAATAAATATTGGGTCTGTATGTTTTGTTGACTGGTTTGTGAGGCTGGTCGGAGAAAACGCCGTTACATGAGTACATGTACATGGAAGTTGCTCGGTCCTGTGTACACCTGCATTGAAGGGCTCAGTGTCACAAAATTTATCAAACTTCAAACAGTGCCGAACCGCCACCTAACCGAGTGAATTGGGAGGCGACTGGTTGCTCCACGAAATGACCTCTAAGGAACGAGCGCAGAAATTCCATACTGATGACGTGTCACTTATGTACCCAGATCTGGGTGGAGTTTCTGATTGGTTGTGCCATGCCGCAAATATGCTTCAACCTATCAGAAGCACTACAAGATGGACTTTCTGCAGCCCGGTTCCTCAGACGTTATTTCGCGGGGAAACCAGGCATAGCGAAATGTGACCGGCAAATATTGCTTTTTTCCGTCTTTGGGTTGATTTCCAGTGTCGCGTAATTTTTCCGTGCGAACGCGCGTAAAATTTAGTATGTGTAATCAATTGATTCCTTATTAATATCATTGGTGACGAATTACGTTAGCAATCGTGAATTTTTGACTTGTTTATCCTGGATCGTATCGATCGAGCCTCCACTCCCTAAAGGTTTAGACCTTAAATTTGGCTCAAGTTCAGAATTTTCACAATTTCTAGACAAAATACCTCTTTTACCTCTTGCTCTTTCGTGTGTTCAGGTCTTCTAAAGCGTCTTTTTGTACCTTGGTATCTTCATTCACGGCATTTTAAAACTTCGTCGCCATTTTGACACTGAGACGTACGGAGGGTTGCCATGGCAATTTTGTAATTTCACATGTGAAATTACAAATTAACTCTGAAATTTCGCGCCAAAATTAAGGAGTAATTCTTCACCTATGACATTACGTGCGTAAATCAAATAGAGGCAATGTGTGAAAGCCGCGCGTGAACGTAAAAGATGAGCGAGGTTCAACTTTTACGGTTACACGTGACCTTTCCATACATTGTCCCTATTTTATTTACGCGCGTAAAAATTACGCGGCAGTTGAAATTCACCGTAAGGCTATACTGCTAACTTTCAAGCTTACAGACCTTCATCACACGGCTACTTCACTATGCACAGTCGCCATACATCTTGCAAGTCCAGTCTTATGTACGTATGAAGACTGTTTTAAAAACAAACTTAAGGTTTTTGGTTCTACCGGGCCATCACATGGCCGCCGCTTTTGAAGAGTCTATTAAGCCCTTCCCCTTTGCTCTAAGTTTCAAAGGCGGAAGCCAGGGAATGAGGTTGCTTAAGCGTTCTTGAAAAGAGGTAACGCCCTCAGAACCACACTGAAGGAAGAAGCCTGTTGTAGGTTTTCGATAAAAGTCCTTCGACGTTTATTTAAAGTAAACTTACATTTGCTAACAATCTTTCTCGGCACAAAAATGGTCAGTGGTAACTGAAAGATATGCACTGAATAAGTCAACTGCGCTCGAGTTTGAGTCAGTTTAAAGTACTCTCCATCTATTATCTGCAGCTCATAAATTATCCTCAAGCATACATTTTATGTTAACAAAGTTTTTATTGTGAACAGCACCACATCTACAAAAATAGAATAAAGATTAACACTAACAGCCAAAGTTTCATTTGATGATTAAAAGCATTTACGGTGAACAATTGATGGGCCAGATTCGTCATATTCTTGTTTGGATATCCACATCTGTTGGAATGTGGACAGCGAGGCCAAGATCGATCCTCCGATCCATACAGAGTATTTACGCTCGGGAGGAGCAATGATCTTGATCTTCATTGTGGGTGGGGCGAGGGCTGTGATTTCCTTTTGCATTCTGTCGGCGATTCCTGGATACATTGTGGAGCCGCCAGACAAAACTGTGTTAGCGTACAGATCCTTACGGATGTCCACATCACACTTCATGATCGAGTTATATGTGGTCTCGTGGATGCCTGCAGCTTCCATTCCAAGGAAGGACGGCTGGAACATGGCCTCTGGTGCACGGAATCTTTCGTTACCGATGGTGATGACCTGCCCATCAGGAAGCTCGTAGCTCTTTTCCAAGCTGGAACTGGATGCAGCGGTAGCCATTTCTTGCTCAAAGTCAAGAGCAACATAGCACAGTTTTTCTTTGATGTCACGCACGATCTCGCGCTCGGCAGTGGTGGTGAAGGAGTAGCCACGCTCGGTCAGAATCTTCATCAGGTAGTCGGTCAAGTCCCTGCCGGCCAAGTCGAGACGAATGATGGCATGGGGAAGAGCGTATCCCTCGTAGATGGGAACCGTGTGACTCACACCATCACCGCTGTCCATGACAATTCCTGTTGTTCGACCAGAAGCGTAAAGCGACAGCACAGCTTGGATGGCGACGTACATAGCTGGTGTATTGAAGGTTTCGAACATAATCTTTTGAGAAAGAAAATCACCTCGTTAGAAGTAAATCAAATGACTATGTAATATTTTGGAGTTTAGTACCCTAGAAATGTGTGTCTTCTTTTTTGCAAAACACTTAGGCTTTATCAAAAAAATCTTTTTGCTAGGTAGTAGTTTACTAGTATTGCTTAATTTTTTATTTTACTTATAGAAATTCTCTAGTGAAGGATTTAATGAAAAAGATAATTGAGCTATGCGTACGCCTGACGTAATGCTATTGTCATGAAAAACTTTGTAAAAAGCCTCATCAAGAATCTTAGGGAGCTTTAGCGTCGACGACGGCGACAGCAGCGAAAACGTCACTTTTAAAATGAATTCGCGTTTTTTCAGACTAAGGAGCGTTTATTTCAATTCGATGTAATTGTTAAATGTAAGCGAATTTCCCTGGAGTTGATTTTTTAGAGACTGCACTTAAGTTTAGAAAGAGGAAGGAAAATTCGTGGTCGCGCTTTGCGCATTGGCAGATGGAAAAGCCATTGAAAAAGGTAAAATTCAGCCAGGTTCGTCTGTTCCACATAAACAAAGCAAAAATGCTGGCCGGTTCAGTGTGAACAAAATGTCCGGTCAAAGTTTTGAACCTGTCAACAAATTCGTCAGGTACCATGTGATCGGTCGGTAGTCTAAACCCAGTTTGCCATCGAAAAATCGAGCAGTTTCCGTTTCACGGGAGCAGACCAATTTTAGATTACAATATGAACGGTCACAGCGCTGAAAGGCTGATTGGTATTTAAATCTGATTTCATGTTGTAAGTTGTATTTTGCGAGCTGGTTTTTAGTATATTTTCGCGTGGTCATTCAGTCAGCATACAATTAACAGGGACCCGGCCTTCGAAGCGCAATCTGAAAATGATGCTTGACGAAGATCGATTTCTTGGCGAATGTTGTGGTAGCTATCGTGGAACGAAAATTCCCCCCAAAAAATTCCAATCCGAGAAAATAAAATAAAAATTGTGAAGCTATGTTAAACACAAAAAGAACCATGGAATATTTTCAATTAATTCCACCTGTTGTTAATTATTCAGATTTTGGCAAAAGACTACTTAAAAGTTCTGTTTCAAACTCTCCAATTCTGACCAATTGGAGCGTTTCTTTACCAAATATAGGCATTAAGACGAGTCAGATATGACCGAGCAGTCACCCGGACGCTGTTTTTCTCAAAACAAAGAAATTTGAAAATCTTTAACGGCAAATTTAAATTTTCATTTTTGTTTTGGTTTAATACAGCGCGATAAAATTTGATGGAAGAATTTGGTTGTGAAGAAAGGATATAAAATAAAGTTTTAACATACCCACATGCAAATTTGTGCTAGGTTTTAAACCGCGCCAATTTAAATAACGTCTTGTAGGTTTTATGTAATTGCATACAGAACAAAGTAACAGATGAAATACATTTTTTTGAATTTTACTTCATTCACTAAATTTCAGAATAAATGGCAATTTTATCCCTGACAAATAAAAAAGCTTCACTCGTTAAGTCAATTATTATTTCAATTGTTTTCTCATGACACAATAGTTAGAGTTGGAGAGATACATTTCGCTTAGAAAGCGTTGGAATGGGAGACCACGCGATTTATATTTATGGCTGGACTTTTTCATAACGGACCGTCCGTGAAACATTTATTTGTAATGCTAGAACTCAGACTTTTTTTTAATGAGACTAAGCCACGCAACAGCGTGCTGTTTACCTGTGTCATTTTTTCTCTGTTGGCTTTTGGGTTGAGAGGAGCTTCAGTCAGCAGAACTGGGTGTTCCTCAGGAGCTACACGAAGCTCGTTGTAGAAGGTGTGATGCCAGATCTGAAATAAGGAAATTCATCGTGACTCGATGTTCCACTGAGATCATTTAACCATCGCATAAAGTACTCACCTTTTCCATGTCATCCCAGTTTGTTACAATGCCGTGTTCGATGGGATATTTGAGAGTCAGAATACCTCTCTTGCTTTGAGCTTCGTCACCGACGTACGAGTCTTTCTGACCCATACCAACCATCACACCCTGATGCCTTGGACGGCCAACGATGGAAGGAAACACTGCACGAGGAGCATCGTCTCCGGCGAAACCGGCCTTGCACATACCCGAGCCATTGTCTATAACCAAAGCGGCAACGTCCTCATCGGCCATTTTTTAAGTTAAAATATAAATTTGAAACAACAACGTTACTGAACTCTCGATGGCCAGAAATGATGCTCCAGGCCGTGATATCGTTTAAATAAATTAATTCATACCCTCATTTGATTGGCTTAAAATGACAACTATTGTCTTCGGCGGAGCGAACCAGCCTGTTTGTTTACAGTATTGTGAGATAAGCGTTGAAAAGTAAAGGCAGTTGCAATGTCTAGAAAAAGGGTCATAACTTTTGCCGTATACTAAATAGACGTTTATTTGTTTCTAGGTAAATCATTTTCGCTTTAAAATTCTTTAGGTTGGGTGTACAAGTGGTGCTTGCTATGAACGGCGTGGAAAGAAAATGTAATTTAACTTTATGACCTTATATGGAAATGTTGTGGATTTTCACCCCACAACGTGGTTGAGTGGTACTATTACAGACGCCTTCGAGGTGAATTGTCACGCGTTTATATTTTGGCGATATTAACTGTAATTTCAAGACATCTTTGCCTTATAAAAACTGTCGCTTTTATGGTGTTTTCCATAGAAACTTTATGCTATGTGAGCAGCGAATTATAAATAACTGGACAAATTTTTGCGATACTTTAGAATAGGCGTATGACACGGCATTTACATTTACGAAGTTTCTGAAGGTCGGTATGAAAAAGACGCTATTTCATGGCACTTAAATTTTCTGTCATTTTGAAAAATAGAATTCATGGGAGAAGATTTTTCCGTTAAGGTTGCTGCCCTAAGGGGTCCTCAGAGTTCTCTTTGATGTTTGGTGCGGTAAAACTAATGTAAATATCTTTTAAAATGTTTTGTGAGGGAAGTTATTTTGATATCAATTTAATAGAAAAAAAATAGATAAAAATTCATCATTATTAAGTTACGGGTACTGTAGGAACAGGTAGACTTGCCACAAGTCTACCTTGTAAGTTTCACAGAAGAAAAGCTGTAAAGCGAGTGAAGTGAGCTTGAAAGCTTGAAAATCTCCGGGAACTTATTGAGGACTCTGCATACCAAAAATATGGTAATACCTGCATTATCGTTTTATACCCTGTAGCCCAACACTTTCTTCGCTTTCCCCTAAGAGGTAGCCTGAGAAAACAGCCAACTTTTCACGACGCCACCACTAATATCTTCGCGAAATGACCTCTGAGGAACGAGCATAGAATTTCCATAATGATGAAGTCTCTCTCTGGGTAGTCCATTGTTTAGGTAATCAGAGGAGATCTGGGCCGGGTTGTTCGAAGCTGGGTTAAGATAACCCAGTGTTAGTGCGGACTTTGAACTCAGCTATTAGAGCTTAAAATTCAAATTCAGTTTAATTCTTTTTGCCTACAATTTGATGATTGGATACTCTAAAAAGAATACAGAAAATTATCCGAGAGAGTGCTTTAATAACATGAAAAAGAAAGCCGGGTTAAAATTTAACCCCGGGGTAGTGCTAACCGGCGTTCGAACAACTGGGCCCTGAGATGTAGTAACACGTCAGCAGTATGGAATTTTTGCGCTCGTTCCTCAGACCTCGGGGAAACTATTGGTGACGTCGCGCGCCAAATGTCGGCTGTAATTAAGTATCGGTCAAATCGAAACTACAACATTCCCTCGCCAGATAACCCCCCGGGCATTTGAAGTTTGGGAAAATTATTGTTGAAATTCCCAACCCCCTGAATCAAAAAATCGTTCAAATATCCCATAATTGGTCCATTTTAGGTGATCACAGGCGACTCTACCCACCCCGGGGAAATTAATATACATGTATACTATTACACTACTCTTCACGAAGACGAAGCAAAGCTTTTGTAGTTCTTTAAGTTTTAGTTTTGGAAGCAAGGTTCAATGTGACAAGATAGAAGTACCGGATCCCAAGACCCTGAAAAAATGGAAGTAATAATTAATATTTGCCATGCAGGCCTGCGCCAGGATTTGTCCACCTCTTGCGATCACCGAGACATGTCACATGAAATCGAGGCAAGAGGGTTCAAATTCCGAACCGTAGGGGACCCAATTCCTCTCCTTCTAGTAAGGTTATGATTTTAAATTCCCTCCCCCTCCGTGCAAGTTAAGTCCCGGGGGAGGGACTCCGCATATAAAAGGGGTGGGGATGCTCGTCGTCTCGATTAGGGGTGTAAATTTCGAATTTTGGTCTCAAAACGCCATCATATTAAGCCGTGAAGGTCTCGTTTAGGGTTGCACGTGAAAAAATATAAAAATATGTGTATTGTCTGTGTTTTAATATAATCTCTTTTAGGGGTCAAAAAAAGCTTGAGCTACGCCCGGATCGGTCTCTTTTAGGGGTTTAATTCAAAATTTTCGACGAGCATCCCCACCCTTTTCATATGCGGAGTCCCCTCCCCCGGGGTTAAGTCGTCAAATACCCGGTCTATTGTGCATAATTCGATCGTCATTTTTATCATAATTTTCACCGCTTTTCTCAAAAACAAAACACTGCAAGCATTATCCGCATTTTTGGTTGTTTTTGCTGCGCAAAAAGATGATTTATAGTGACTGAGTAAGCCAGGGTCACACAGGAAGTGACCCAGGAATATATAATGAAGATTGACCAAGTAGACAAGGATAAGGCTCCTTGTTGAAGAGAATCCGGCCAATTCTAAAGCACAGTTAAAGTTACTGGCTGACAGAAAAGAATAGATTTGTTGTGTAAAAAATTTAAAAAATTGTATTGTAAATTGTAATTTGTTTACCCACGGAGCACTAAGGACTTCATAAGAACTCGTTGAAACGTGTCCGTGCGTTCCAGATCGAATTGGAATTTGAAAGTGTTGGTTTTTAAGGAGAGAGGAAAACCGGAGTACCCGGAGAAAAACCTCTCTTAGCAAGGGAGAGAACCAACAACAAACTCAACCCACATATGGCGTCGACGCCAGGATTCGAACCCGGGCCACATTGGTGGGAGGCGAGTGCTCTCAGTACTGCGCCACCCTTGCTCCCCCTTGTGTTACTACAGCTGTTGCTATTTACTGGTTTTTGGTCCAGGGCCAAGTTTTAGCATAAGTGTTGTAGCATCAGTTTCAAAATATTTATGGAAAAAGACTTCAGCAAGCATAATTTCTGCATTTTATACTTATATCAGCGTATTTTAAAACAACTAGGATAATTTTGGACATAATATCAGAAAAATAGGGGCACCACTTGTGGCTGATTGTGCTACTTTCAGGAACGCACTTTTATCAAAGCCTACTTTTTTTGAAACCAACGATGGTCTGTGCTGTGTGACACTGCCTTACTACTGACAGCTTCCGTATACAACATGCTATAACATTGTGAAAGACCGTAGATTACGAAGTAAAATTGCTTTTTCAAAACAAATCTCTGATGATCATTTCCTTCAAAGCAGTTATTTGGCCTGATAAACAAATTAACGGCTGATCATGAGTTGAGCACTATGTTGGTTGCAAAACACAGCTTCAACAGTGAAACAACGCCCAAAACCAAGGTTTTAATAAGACAGGAAAAGCGATTGAAAAACCTGCTAAATAAACTTTAAAGAATTTTAAACTCGGGAGTCTAATTACACATTGTTGTTATTTTTATGGCTTTGTTTTATCACAGGCAAATCCCGAGCTGAATGGTAATATTCTGCAACTAAAGAAACTAGAGAGTTTTAAAAATGAACAAACCTTGGAAAAAGATGATTCAAAGTTGGGCACAGCATCTGTCAGTTTCCAACCTAAAACAACGTAACCGCTAATAATTATGCTGAGCCGCTCTTTTACCCGAAAAAGGAAAAGATGATGAAGATAGAGGTGAAGTTGAAACAGTACCCAAGCTAAGTCCCCATATCATACTTGTGGAAGTCATGATCAAGCAATCAGCCAATATTATTTATGTAAACAAAATCTTTATTAGGAACAGTACCACATCTACAAAAATAGAATAAGGCTCAAAGATGCAGAACGAATAAATGAAAGTGTTCTCTTCTTAAGCTCTGTTTTTTAAACAGCGGCTATTATATATTTATACTTTTGTCGTTTTGTTATTTAATCTCCCCAAAGGGAGGAAAAAGTTCTATTTCAGTGATGCTTAGAAGCATTTGCGGTGGACAATTGATGGACCAGATTCATCGTATTCTTGTTTGGAGATCCACATCTGTTGGAAGGTGGACAGAGAGGCCAAGATCGATCCTCCAATCCATACAGAGTATTTACGCTCAGGGGGAGCAATAATCTTGATCTTCATTGTGGGCGGGGCTAGAGCAGTTATTTCCTTCTGCATTCTGTCAGCGATTCCTGGGAACATGGTGGAGCCACCAGACAACACTGTGTTAGCGTACAGATCCTTACGGATGTCCACATCACACTTCATGATCGAGTTATATGTGGTCTCGTGGATGCCGGCAGATTCCATTCCAAGGAATGAAGGCTGGAACATGGCTTCAGGACATCTGAATCTCTCGTTTCCAATGGTGATGACCTGTCCATCAGGAAGCTCGTAGCTCTT